AGGTAAAGTGGACATTCGCGCGCGCAAGACGAAATCCTTCCAAAACCTTAGTTTTCGTAGCGATTTTAACATAAAAACATCAAAAAAACCAATGGTTTTTCAAAAAAAAATGTCAAAATTTCATCCCGCGCGCTCTTGCGGATTCGTAGGAAACCCAACACTTTTTAAACATTTCTGTCAAACGGGCTTTTGCGAGCAACTTTTTCGAACTTCTGCAACAACGGTTGCGCACCTGCCAGGGCCATCATCCCTGTCAAATAATACCATGCGGGACACATTCGTTTTTTCTTCGCGCGCGCACGCCGTCGTCGTCGGCCGCGGGGCCCTGAATAGTAGCCACGGTCGTCCGCATGCCACGAAGTGAAGTGTCCGAACGTCATAGGGCGGGAAGCTGGGTGTGGGTGGTGGCGAAGAGTCGTTTGGAAATTTGGTAGAGCTTGAACCGGCCCCCCCACAAAGTGGGGGTATTGCCCGCCTCCTATGAAAACCCTGGCACTGGTGAGAACGGTGTGTCCCCACGTGCTAGTAATTGTTGTTGTTGTTGTTGTTGAACTCTCATTTTTGAAGAAGAATTATTGTTGATCCCCCCATCACCGGTACATGCTGCTTTTTCTCCATCAAAATTCCCCATCAGCGCTCGCACCTTGTTGTTTGGCAGGGAAAGTCTTGATGCTCGAACTGGGCCCCTGGCCCCGCCCCCCCCCCCTATTTACAACAACGGATCCAGCCGGAGACTTCTTCCAAATTTACTCAGGACCCCCGCTCCTGAGATTTTCTAATTTATTCAGGATCGGTGGTCCCGCCTGTGACGCCCTCGCAATTTAGTCAGGACCCCCGCGCCCATCTGAGACTTCGTCCGAATTTACTCAGGAACGGCACTCCCGCTTGAGACTTCCTCGCAATTGAACCAAGATTTCCTCGCAATTTAATCAAGACCCCCGCTCCCGCCAGAGGACCCGTCACATTTTATTATGGAGTTGCGCTCTCGCCTGTGACTGCCATGCAATGTATGCAGGAAGCGCGCTTTCGACGCTCAGGAAACACGCTGCGCCAAGGACTCCGTCGCAATGTATTTCGTAACCGCGCTTTCGCTATACCCAGGCATCCCGCTTGAATGTCCCGCCCGCCCGACCCGCCCGTCAGGGGATCGCCCGCCCGTCGAGGGCTCCCGCCCGAGACTTCCTTCAGGAACGGCGCTTTCGCATAGGAGTTCCTCGAACGTTCACGCTCTTACCTTCCTGCTCCCCATCCCTCTCTCTCTTCCCTCCTCCCTCCTCTCCTCCCTTTTCTCTCCCTCCTCTCTTCCCTCATCCTTATTCCTCTCTGCCCTATCCCCTTTCCCTCCTCTCCCTCCTCCCTTCTCCCTCCCCTCTCCTGCCTCCTCCCTCATTCTCTCTCTCCCTTTCTCTCTCTGTCTCTCACCTCTCTCTCTCTCTCTCTCTTTCTCTACCCGTTTTATCTGTCTTTCATTTTCTCTCTCTCTCTCTCTCTCTCTTTCGCTCTCTCTCTTTCTCTCTGCCTCGCATCAACCGCCCCCCTTTTCGCTCCTTCTCTCCTTGCGTTTTCCCTCTTCCTTCGTCCCTCCCCTTCCCTTCCTCCCAGTCTCCCTCGTTTTCCCCCTCCTCTTTTTGCAGGGCCCACACCAATTCTAATGGCGAGCGCATGTAGGCCCACGAAGGATTGTCCGCCCGTTCAGGTTTGCCCGCCCGTCGAAGCCCGCCGCCCCCCGCAAAGAGTAATAATCCCCCCGCAGGGGGTGTGAATGAAGACACAAATGGCGAACATCGAGGGTGTGGGGGACTCGTTTTGAATGACACGCGGGCAAGTAAGAGCGAACCGTTTGAGAATGATGATTGTTGTTGTGTTGTTGATGTTGTTGCTGTTGAACTCTCATTTCTGAAGAATAATTATTGCTGAATCCCCAATCGGTGCATACAGTTTTTCTACATCAAAGTGTGCCCCTCGGCGCTCGCACCCTGTTTTTTGGCAGGGGAAGTCTTGATGCTCAAACTGGGCCCCTGCCCCCCCCCCCCCCCCGTATTACAACAACAACGGCTCCAGCCTGAGACTTCATCCAAATTTACTCAGGACCCCCGCTCCCGCCTGAGAATTCTTCACACTTTTCTCAGGATCTGTGCTCCTGCCTGTGACCCCGCCGCAATTTCGTCAGGACCCCCGCTCCCATACGAGATTTTTTCACAAGTTATTCAAGAACGGCGACCCCTCTTGAGGCTTCCTCGCGCTTGAGTCACAACTCCCTTGCACCTTAATCAAGACATCCGCTCCCGCCAGAGGACCCGTCACATTTTATTATGGAGTTGCGCTCTCGCCTGTGACTGCCATGCAATGTATGCAGAAAGCGCGCTTTCGACGCTCAGGAAACACGCTGCGTCAACGACTCCGTCGCAATGTATTTCGTAATCGCGCTTTCGCTATACTCAGGCATCCCGCTTGAATGTCCCGCCCGCCCGACCCGCCCGTCAGGGGGTCGCCCGCCCGTCGTGGGTTCCCGCCCGAGACTTGTTTCAGGAACGGCGCTTTCGCCTAGGAGTTCCTCGAACGTTCACGCTCTTACCTTCCTGCTCCTCCTCCCTCTCCCTCTTCCCTCCTCCCTCCTCTCCTCCCTTTTCTCTCCCTCCTCTCTTCCCTCATCTTTATGCCTCTCTGCCCTATCCCCTTTCCCTCCTCTCTCTCCTCCCTTCTCCCTCCCCTCCCCTGCCTCCTCCCTCATTCTCTTTCTCTCTCTCTCTCTCTTCCCTCTCTTACTCTCTGCATAACTATCTTATATGGTTGTTTGTTGTTTTTCTCTCTCTCTCTCTCTGTCTCTCTCTACCTCTCATCGACCGCCCCCCTCTTCGCTCCTTCTCTCCTTGCGTTGTCCCTCTTCCTTCGTCCCTCCCCCTCCCTTCCTCCCGTTTCTCTACTTCTCATCAACCGCCCCCCTCTTCGTTCCTTCTCTCCTTGCGTTGTCCCTCTTCCTTCGTCCCTTCCCCTCCCTTCCTCCCGCTCTCCCTTCCTCTTTTTGCTGGGCCCACACCAATTCCATTGGCGGGCGCATGTACGCCCACGAAGGATTCTCCGCCCGTTCAGGTTCGCCCGCCGGTCTAAGCCCGCCGACCCCCGCAAAGAGAAATAATCCCCCCTAAAGGGGGTGTGATCGAATACGAAAAGGGCGGGTATCGAGGGTGTGGGGGACTCGTTTTGAATGGCACGCGGGCAAGTATGAGCAAACAGTCTTATAATGATAATTGTTGCTGTTGTTGTTGTTGTTGTTGTTGTTGTTGTTGTTGTTGTTGCCGTTGCCGTTGTCGTCGTCGTCGTCGCTGTTGTTGTTGATGTTGAATTCTCACTTCTGAAGAATAATTATAGTTGGTCCCCCCCCCGCCCGGTGCTCATTGTATTTTATCCATTGAAGTGCCCCTCCGAGGGCTCGCGCGTTGTTGTTTGGATCAGGGAAAGTCTTGAGGGTCAAACTATGTGTTTGGCCCCCGGTTTACAGCAACAACGGCTCCCGCCTCATATTTCCGAACAGTTTATTTCAGAATCGCGCTCTCGCTTGGGACTGCCTGACAATTTACCACCGAATCGTGGCTCCCGCCTGATACTTCCTGACAATGTATTGCAGAATCGCGCTTTCGCTGTTGATTTCTTCGCAACTTACCACCGAACCGCTTCGCTTGATATTTCGTCACATTTTTTTTCAAATGCCGGTTCTCGACACTCACGAATCGCGTTCCCGCTACATACTGCCTGACTGTTCAAGCAGGACTCACGCTTCAACGACCCGCCCGCTCGACCCGCCCGTCTGTCTGGGCCTGACCGCCCGACCAACCCGTTAATGATTGCAGTCGCCGCTCGCTGCCCTTCGCCTGCTTTCGATGCCCCTCGCTGCCCGCACTGGTTCGCGGTCGCCTTTGCTCGCTGCCCTTCGTGGCCCCGTTGCTGCCCTCAGTGGCCTCGTCGCTGCCCTTTGTGGCCCCGCATTAAATGCCCTTCGTGGCCCCCGCTCGCACGCGCCCGTCGTGGCCCCATACGCATGCCATGTGTGGCCCCGCTGTCGCCCTTCGTGCCCCCCTCGCTGCCCTTCGTGACCCCTTTGCTGCCCTCAGTGGCCCCGTTGTCGCCCTTTGTGGCCCTGTATACGAATGCCCTTCGTGGCCCCCGCACGTTCGCGCCCGTCGTGGTCCCATATGCATGCCCTTCGTGGCCCCGCTGTCGCCCTTTGTGGCCCCGTCGATGCCCGTCGTGGCCCCTGTGGTGCCCTCAGCGGCCCCGTCGCTGCCCCTTGTGGCCTCGGATGTTATACCCTTGGTGGCACACGCTGGCTCTTCTCATGATCTACTTGGGAATCGCGCTATCGCTTGAGACTTCCTCGCGATTCATGCAGGACCCACGCTTCAGCAACCCGCCTGCTCGACCTTGTCGCCTGGGCCCACCTTCGCGACCTGCCCGCTATGTGTCTGCTCACCCGATCTGCCCGTCTGGTTCTACCACTTGTTTTCTGCTCCTTGCCCCCCTCTTGCTAATTTCTCTCGTGCTCCATTCTTCTCCATCCCCCTTTCCACCCGTACACTCTTCCCTTGTTTTGGGGGCTGCACAAAATACGCGTGGCAGGTAAGGAAGATATACCCCCAAGGTGGTACGATCGAAGACGACGAGGGCGGGTACCGAGGGTTTGGGATATACGTATTGATTGGTACTTGAGCAAATAGGAGCGAACAGTCTTACGATAAATATTGTTGTTGTCGTCGTCGTTGTTGTACTATGGGGACCAGGATATAAGACCGGGCCCAAGATCTGCCCTGGTAGCAGAACGGGTGCGAGCCCCAACAGAAACGCTCTTTCATTGATAAAACCGACGGGGCACCAGGCAGGGGAGACCACCAACAATTATTTTTCTCAATTGAGAATTCAAGCACAAGCCGCGCCGCGGAATCTCACTCCAGCCTCGCAACCAGGGACAAGAAATGACCGGTCGGCCCCCTCATTCTGACTTATAGGTATTCGGAGGGCGCAGCCATCAACCTGGACCAGCAGCTCTGCGCCGGCGCGGCGGATTTCAGCCGCCCTCGGGATACCTGCGCCGGCGACAGTGGTTCCCCCATGATCGATGCCACGGGCCATCAGGTCGTCTGCTCCTTTCGGGGATCGCGAAGGAGGAGGACGATCGAGGATGGATCATCGAGAATGGAGGAAGAGGAGGAGGAGGAGGAGGAGCAGGAGGAGGAGGAGGAGGAAGAGGAGGAGGAGGAGGAGGAGGAGGAGGAGGAGAGGAGGAGGAAGAGGAAAATAGGGAGGAGGAACAGCAGGAGGAGCAGGAGGATGATGAGGAGCAGGAGGCGGAGGAGGAGGAGGAAGAGGAGGAGGAGAAGGAGGAGGGAGGAGGAAGAGTGGGGGGAGAAGGAGGAGGAGGAGGAAGAGGAGGAGGAGGAGGAGGAGGACGAGGAGCAGGCGGAGGAGGATCGAGGAGGAGGATCGAGGGGGAGGATCGAGGAGGAAGAGGAGGAGCAGGAGCAGGAGGAGGAGGAGCATCGAGATCGAAATCCCAGGATAGGATGGAGTACCTGAGAGGAGGATCGCGGAGGAGGCGGAGGATTATGGATCGAGCAGGAGCAGGAGAAGGAGGAGGAGGAGGAGGAGGAGGAGGAGAATCGAGGCCCGAGAGGCCCTCTGGGCCTCTTGGGGCGCCCTCCTAGCAACGGGCGACGGCTGGCTCCGCCTGAGGAGCCTGGGCGGCGCGCGCCCCAAGAGAGGCCCGAGGCCCGATCCTGAAGGCGAGGGGGAAAGGAGGCTGAGGAGGAGGAGGAAAGGAGGAGGTTTGCAATACAACCTACGGGTGTCGGGGGTGGGCAGAGCCCCCACCCTGACACGTCGATTAGTGAATTGTCCATTTTCGGTTCTCGAGAGGGAGCCGCGGCCGTCATTTTGCAGGCTTGCGGCCGCCAGGTTTGGGCCCGAGGTCGTTTTCACTAAACCACGTTATACTAAAGGGGGTTCTGTCCATCCTCGAGGGTGCGGCAGTGCCGCCGCGTGACTGTCTAGAAATATTAGCATGTGTCGTCATCGCCCTCGTCTCCATTTCAAAGGGGACCTTTCCCTTGCCCTCAGCGTTGGCTGAGGACGGGGTTCTTGAGGGCATCGGAGCTTGCTAGGGTCCGCTCGCGGCGTCAGCGTCAGGAAGGATCAGAAGAAGACAAGGAGGATCAGGAAGGCCAGGAAGGCCAGGAAGGATCAGGATGATCAGGAAGAATCGGGAGGATCAGGAGGATCAGGAAGGTCAGGAAGGTCAGGAAGGGGGAGGATCAGAAGAAGGACCAGAGCAAAGTCCACCTGGGATGCATCAGCGATGCTGCAGGCCACCCTCCCGTCCGAGGCCCCCCTCCCTCATTCCTGCACGGATGCTCTTCCACTGCGGAATAGCGATCTTTTTTTGCGTGACGAGCGCCCGGTGGGCCTGCCACTCAGGTGGTACTCCAGATTTCGTAATAAAAGGGAGGGGGTCTGGACCCTCCAAGACAAGCCATTTCAGACCCCCCCCCCATGGGAGAACCCTCCAAAACATCGTCCCCAGACCCCCCCAGGCCCTCCAAGATAGCCTGGAAGAGACCCCCCCCGAAATGAGACCCCCCTCTCTTTATTACGAAATCTGGAGTACCCAGTTTTGTGCAAGGAGCCGCCCCCGCATCCTTCCAGTTGAACGACATGCGAGGTTCAGGAGGGAAGGAAAAACACAGACACAATTCATCGTCGATTCCCAGAAGATATGGGACAATATGGAAGTGGGGGGGAAGACGAAAACCCCAAACATCTGGAAACATGTGGGGAATCCTTTTCTTTGTGTGTATTTATTTGTGTGTCCCTGGGCCCCTTGAAAGGTTTTCTTTTTCTGGCGTAGCGCTCGTTACCCGGCCCCCCCTCACCCTTTTGGTAACGCTGACGATCGTGCTCGGGGGGGGGGGGGGCTGGTACCCCCCTGCATGCTTGGAGCGGACCCCGCGCAGGTATGGCGCTGTGCTCACAGGCATGGCGTGGTCTGAACGGCACGCATTGGTGCTCACAAACGTGTTGTGGCACTCGCAACCGTCGTCGTCGTGTGCACGGGGAGCGCGGTGCACAGAAGCGATGGATGCGCCGGTGGCGCGGACGCACCCTGGCGGGCGCACGCTGCGGCCGCCGTTACCGTTACCCACCCGCCCGACCCCCCCCCCAGGAAACAGCCGTTAGCCGAGAAATAGAAATAAACGAAAGGTACGATCGATGACGGGCCAATCGTGCCAAGTCTGTTTCGTTTGCGCCCCGTTCAGACTTGCATGCGTACGGGCTTGTGCGCGCTACACCGATTTGCATGCATGCAGGTGTGCGCGCCCGCGATCCTCATCGCTGCCGTCGTCAAAGGAATGTCCTCATCACCGTCGTTATCATCATTATCATCATCACCATCATTCTTTTCGCGTCGACTATACGTACGCACGTACATCATCCTGATCGCCACCGTCGTCATCCTAATCGTCCCCACCGCCACTACTTTGCAAACGGTTACCTTTATCGATCCCCGCGCGGTCTGCCTGTCCCGGCGCGGTCCGCCCGCGCATGCAGCGATGGCCCTGACGGGGCAGGAGGCGAAGACTTGCAGCGAAGCGCCTCCCCCGTGTCCGTGGGCGGCGATCGGCCTGGCGGTTCCGGTGAATCCGCCGCAAACTGCAACAGCACTGTTTGGCAGTATGCGTCGCGCGCGGGCCTCGGCGCAGGGCCCCTTCTGAAGGTCTTCTGGGAGCTTTCAACAATCGCCCCCAGCGTCTGGAGCTCTTCGGGGCCCTTTTGGAGGCCTCTGGGGGGCCTTTTGAAGCCGTTTTGGGGTCTTCTTCGAGCCGGGGGGGCCTTCGAAAGGACGCCGAGATGGCCTCGGGAGGGCGCCTGAGAAGCCTCTTGCGACGGCTCCAGCGATGGAGACTCAGCTCGGGAGTCCTCGGCCCAGTTGTGAATGCTGGTGTCCTGGGGGTGGAGTGGATTTTTGGCGAGTTTTTGTATTGTCGATTGTGAACTCCCGTGGAAATTCATTTGGAAATTCTTATGGGAAGTCCCGGGGATGTTTGACGCCCTTCGGACCTCGTGATTTTGCAGGGATGGAGGCCTTCACACGTTCACCAAGAATTCTCGCCGGTTTCCCCCGGCCACATTCGGCCTTGAGCGCGGGGCCCATGCGCGGTCCGCTGGGGGGCAACGCGGGGGCCTTCTCGGTGCCGCTTCTCCCCAGAGGGGCGACGTGGGCCGCCCGTCCCTGGCGGCCCCAGTCCGGGAAAGCTCGCGGGCGCGAGCAGTCTGGCAGGTGGCGCCTCCAAGGAAGGAGGACCGAAGTGACCGTCCCAGACGAAGCGCCGGCGGCGCGTGATGTCCAGCGCCATGCTGATGCATTCCCCCAGCAGGTCCCGGGTGGACAGAGCCCACCTCGCGCGCGATTTCGATTCGAGCTTGGACTTTGCCAGTTCTTCTGGTTGCGAGTTCGCTCGGCGGCGGGCCCCTTCCTCAGATGTTGACTCTGCTGGTCGTTTGGCCCGTCGCGCCAATTTCAATTTGCCGGCCGCATGTCTCGGATCTCGAGAAGTGTGCCTGGCGACCGCGCTTGAGTCGAGATCCGCGGAACGGGCCAGCGCGGCCAGCGCGCTCGCTCGGGGCCCGAGAAACGGACCTGGAGCGGAGCGCCGGCAGCGCGGTCCGCAGCCGTGCTGGCTCGAGGCCCGCCGCCCAGCGCCGGGGGGGTTTGCCGAGGCCGCCGCCGCCGCTTCCGCGCGGCGGCGCTCGGCGAGACCGACGCCGCCGCTGCGCAGACTTGGGGCCCCCGCGAACTGAAAACAAAGGAAACGGATGATGCGCGCCGAAGCGAAGCAAGTCATGATGGACAATCTGATAAATTCCACAGTAGCCGAGCTGGGGGGCCGCAGAGGCAGGAGGGTCAGCTTGGGCGAACCTCGCGCTCATTTGTTCCAGCGCTTCTCCCTATCTGGGAGGACTTCCGGGGTGCGTTCAACGGCCCGGAGTCTCCTTCGAAGCGGTTGGCGGCAAAGGGCGAGTCTCTGCCCATCCGAGACTCGTTGCTGACCCAGTGTTGGCGCTCGCGAATCCTTTCCAACCGCGGCCCCATGAACGCGGCCATCGCGGTCCTTGGCTTCTTGCGCCGCAAACCCGCGGCGTCCGTCGAGCAGATCCGCCGCTGCATCGCCGCGCTCGAGTTTCCGGGGCGCGCCGGCGTTCCCCGGCAGTGCGCGGCCGAGTTCGCCATCGCGAAGACGCTCGCGGATGAGATCTCGCTGTCCGCGCGGAATCGCACGGGCAGTGAGGGGCCGAACAGGGGGAAGTCCTTCAAGACTCACGAGGCCGCGTCGAAAGTAGTGCTGCTGGCGGCCGCTGTCGAAGCCATCAGGGCGCGCGAAGTTGATTGGGCGGTCATCGCTGACGAGGTCGAAGAGGTTTTCCAGGCTGGCGAGCTCAGAAAGGCAATGTTCGGAGAGATCACGCCGCACGTCCTTGCTGATGGGGCCGAGAAAATGTCCGAGGATGTCAAAGCCTTGCCCCCACTGGAGGGCCAGGTCGCCACGGCGCAGATCACCGAGGCGAAGAACGACGCCGCGCTTGCCGCGGCGACCGCGGGGCTTGGGCCCGTTACCAGAGCACCGCGAGATCATCTTGAAATGTCGGGGGTGCTCGCAAGACGGCAAGGTGACCTGTCGTGGTGAGCGAGCGACAGAGTGAATCTTCGATGGGTCATGCATGTTTTTTTGTTTAGAACGCGCTGTCCACATGCTCTGAAACTACTCTTGGCATGGGCGATTGCTTGCGCGTCGTTGCGGAACCCCGTTGCGGTTGCCATGTGGATTGCTTGTGATGGTCGGCGTGTTTCCCGTGCGTTGTTGCATCCTGTTGCGTGTGCGTGGTTTTATCGTGCTCTGTCAGTGCCTCGTGCGCGGCGGCGGCGGTCGTTGCGCGCGCCGCGCCCCCTTGCAGGCGGCCGGGGGGAGCGCGGGGATCGCGCCCGAAGCGGGCGGGCGCGGAAGGTGCACGGGGTCGCGCTTCGTAGGCGGCGGCGGTGAACAATGCGCGCGTTTCGCGCAGTGGCGCCGCGCAGGCGGCGTCGAAAAGGGTGCCGGAGCGGCAGGGGCAAACGCGGAGGCGCAGCGTCGGCGCCCATTCCTGCCCCGGAGGGTCCGGGGAGGGTTCTGGGGGGAGGCTCCTGGGGGCGGTAGTACGCGGCTAGATCTGAGGGGGGTCCCTGGGACCCCGGAAACATCGTTCCTTATGTACTCCAGATTTCGTAATAAAAGGGAGGGGGTCTGGACCCTCCAAGACAAGCCATTTCAGACCTCCCCCGTGGGAGAACCCTCCAAAACATCGTCCCCAGACCCCCCCAGGCCCTCCAAGATAGCCTGGAAGAGACCCCGCCCCGAAATGAGACCCCCCTCCCTTTGTTACGAGATCTGGAGTAGGGTTCCTTAGGTCAACGCCCCGACTGCGCCGCACATCCTTATCACAGGAGTTGCCTGTGGGCTGCGCGCTGCGTGCCCCCCCCCCCGGTCGGGAGCTGCTGGAGGTGTCCATGCCCCATGGGTGCCCCCCCCGGGGTCTACGCCCGATGCTGGAGCCACCGATCCCCGGGTTTCGCAGAGGGTGCCCAGGAGGCCTCCGGGGCCTCCCCGAGGAGGAGGAGGAGGAGGAGGAGGAGGAGGAGGAGGAGGAGGAGGAGGAGGGGGAGGAGGAGGGAGGGGGGAGGAGGAGGGGGGGGGGAGAAGAGGAGGGGGAGGGGAGGAGGGGAGGAGGAGGAGGAGAGGAGAAGAGGTTGAGGAGGAGGAGGAGGAGGAGGAGGGAGGAGGAGGAGGAGGAGGGGGAGGAGGAGGAGGAGGAGGAGGTTGAGGAGGAAGAGGTTGAGGAGGAGGAGGAGGAGGAGGAGGAGGGGGAGGAGCGGACGCCTGGGTCCGACATCGTGATGTGCCCTCACACTGTGGGCCCCGACGGTCTCGACCCACTCCCTGGGCCTGGGCGGTCCGGCATCCCGAGTCGTCTTCGACGTTTCAGGTGCCCGGTACTCCAGATTTCGTAATAAAGGGAGGGGGGTCTCATTTCGAGGGGGGTCTCTTCCAGGCTATCTTGGAGGGCCTGGGGGGGGGTCTGGGGACGATGTTTTGGAGGGTTCTCCCACGGGGGAGGTCTGAAATGGCTTGTCTTGGAGGGTCCAGACCCCCTCCCTTTTAATACGAAATCTGGAGTAACTGAGGCCCGAGAGGCCGAGACAATACCATCATTCGCCCAGGTTTTTTTCACGACGCGAGGGGGTCTGGGGCCAGAGGCGCCTCTTGCAATCTCCGGCCCTCCTCGCCCCCCGCGCGCGCGGGGCTCGGCCCAGGTCGGCATCGTCAGCTACGGCGGAGGCCCCGGCGAGGTGATGAGCGGCCCTGGCCGCCAGTGCGGCGACCCCAGCTATCCAGGCTCGGCGGCGCGTAACAAACAACAGACACACATTGGCGTGGCGAGTGGGGAGAGGGCAGGCCGAGGATCGAGGGAGGGGCGCGACGAGACGTCGCGGGATCTCTTCGGCACCGATCTTGCTCGTGGTCCATGCCGGCCGTCACCGACTCGCGCGGATGACTTCAGAAATGACGATGACCACAATGGACGACGACCAAGATCGACCCTGGCGTTTCCGCAATCAACCGCGGTCATGGTCTTCGTCCCCCCCCTCCAGAGGAAGAGGATAACCCACTCCAGAGCGTCTTCGAGTGTCTCGGAACGCTCCGGAGCGGCCTTGGCGCCCGATGCCTCTGCTAGATCCACCAGAACCCAGAGATGCCTGGGTTCACCCCGTCCGAGCTTGTCACCCTGCCTTCGCCCCAGGGCCCCCGAGAGCACTGGGGCCTCAGGGTGCGGGGAGCCCGGACCATGCGAAGAGGGAGGGGCTTCCCTGGGCCTGGCTCGCGGGGCTCTCTCCTGGAGGGGAACCGACCAGGCCTACAGGTCGGCCGCTCCTCCTCGGTCTGGTTATGGCAGGCCCGTGTCGTGTTGTCAACGTGGGGGCGACCCCGGCGCGGGGGGCTTCTCCTCCTCCTTCTTCACCTCCTCCTCCTCCTTCACCTCCTCCTCCTCCTCCTTCATTTCCTCCTCCTTCACCTCCTCCTCCTACTCCTCCTCTTCAGTGTCGACCGCCGCCAGTGGCCCAGCATCAACCGATGTGTCGAACGGTCGGTGCTGTCGGAAAGCCGCGATCGCTCAAGGCTGCACGGAGCACGCCCCCGCGGTCTCGGGAACCAACGCGCAAGTCGTCACGACACAAGCTCGGCCCAGGGCTTTCATCTCCTTCTCCTCCTTTTCCTCCTCCTCCCCCTCCTCCTCCCCCTCCTCCTCCTCCTCCTCCTCCTTCTCCTCCTCCTCCTCCTCCTCCTCTCAGTTGTAGCGACGGGTGGGGCCTGGCCCCGGGGGGGAACCTCGATCCTCGATGTCCCATTCTTCGCCCTCACGCCCTGCCCATGCACGCACAATTTCGCTATCGAGGGCCTGTCGGGTGTCTATCGGCGAAGTGGCGCCGATGCCCCCTCGCTGAGCCAGGCATGGCCGCCTACGAGCCGAATCAATGCGATTCGATTCGCCGGCGGGGGCCGCAGTTCCGACTCCATTCGACTTTCTCCAGCATCCGCCAGGGCCTGCCAGCGCAGGGCCCGGCTATCCGATTTCGATTCGATTCGGGACCATTCGTTGGCGATCCGATCCGTCTCCGATCCCATCCGTTCTCGCGATTCGATCCAGCCCAGGCCTGGCAGTCCCCCCATTCGTTCCCTCTCGGTCGCGAGGTAGACAGAGTAGACAGAGTATCATTGACTCCCCGCCGCTGAGCGCCTACCGTTGCTTGTTGTTCAAGGGGGGCGCTTCCCGCAGCGAAAAGGTCTGCCTGTAGGGGGGCTTCTGAGGCGGGGACTTTGGACGGGAGGATGTATAGTAGCATCGTTGATGCATCCTGGAGTTACGCTGACCATCCTTCTCTCCCTCCTCCTCTCCTCGGGACGCGAGGCTTGCCTGACTGCATTGGAGCTCGCATTCAGCGCATTCTTGCCGTCTCCCTGCTCGGGTCGGACGAAGGGGGGGGATTTGGCAAGGGAGGGCCTCACGAATGGCCTAACCGACTAGCAAATCATCCCCATCCGTCAGGTCCTCCTCGCCTCCTCGCACCACGGCGCATGCATGCGGCCAGAGGGGAGCTCGAAGGGCGAGGATGGGGTCTCGGAAGGGGATGGTTTGCTCTTGGGGGCGGTCCGGCCGCGCCCGAACGCAGTCTTCTGCACGCGCCTGGCTTTTTTCTGCTCCGCCGCCGGGCGCCTCCCTCGTCTCTCGGCAGGCGCGCCTCGCCGAAGCGACGGGCGGGTCCAGAGCTGACCTCTTCGAGGCCACGGCCTCCACGCCATGCCGGGACGGGCACGGGCGGGCTCCCGTGAGGAGCGCGCCCGACTCCGGCGCTTCGCTTCGCTTCGCTTCGCTTCCTCGGCACGCCGGCGCCCTCGGCCGCAGGCCTCGAGATTGACACCAACACCAATATCGGCGGCGTGCCTCCACCGAGGGATGAAGATTCCGGTCTCGGTGATGGTGGTAATATTTTGGCTTCCAGGGTGGCCAAAATATTGCCACCAGCACCGGAATCTAGGATCATCTTCCCCCTGTGGAGGCAACCCCTTGTGTTGGTGTTGGTGCTAATTTCCAGGCCTCCAATTGGAGGCCTGGAAATGGGCACCAACACCAACACAGGGGGGGTTACCTCCACAGGGGGAAGATGATCCTAGATTTCGGTGGTGGTGGTAATATTTCGGCCACCTTGGAAGCCAGACTATTACCACCAGCACCGAGATCGGGATTTTCATCCCTCGGAGGAGGCACGCCGCCGATATTGGTGTTGGTGTCAATCTCGAGGCCTCCAACTCGGCGCCGGCGGGCGCGCGGGGGAGGCCGCTGCGCGGGTGGGCTCGCGAACGCCGGCGGGGGCGGCGCGTCGTGGCCTGCGCAGCAGGGAGGCCCTTCCTCGGCTGTCGGAGAACCCCGTCGGGGACGGGAGGCTCCCGCCTCTCGGGCGGGACGAAAGGGGCTTAGGAATTGGTATACTCCAGATTTCGTAATAAAGGGAGGGGGGTCTCATTTCAGGGGGGGTCTCTTCCAGGCTATCTTGGAGGGCCTGGGGGGGGTCTGGGGACGATGTTTTGGAGGGTTCTCCCACGGGGGAGGTCTGAAATGGCTCGTCTTGGAGGGTCCAGACCCCCTCCCTTTTATTACGAAATCTGGAGTAGGAATTGGTATAACATAGCGCGCTGCCTCCATCGCAGCGCCCTGGAAAAGGACTCGCGACCCTCTTCCTCTCCCACTTCTACCCACGGGTTATAGTGTAGGTTCGACTCTTTGGTCGTTAACCTACATTCGGGCCGGACGAAAGGGGGGGGATTGGGAAAGGGGGGGTTACGGAATCTGCTGCATGCAGCTGGTGTCGGCCCCACCGAGGGGCCCATTCCTCGATGCATAGCCGCCCCCGGCGCCGGGAGGCGCTGGGAAAATCAGCTGCGAGAGCTGATTCTCCCCCCCCCCTTTGCTAGCCCCCCCTTTCGCCCGACCCGAGACTCTGGGTGGCCCCGCCTCTCTCAGGAGGGAAAGAAACGCACAGACACAATGGATCGTCGACTCCCAGGAAAGTATGGGAAAATATGGGAAGTGGGGGGAAGGCAGAGACCCAGAGAATATGGGAAAATATGGGGGGTCCTGTCATTTGTATGTATTTATTTGTGTGTCCCTGGGCCCCTTCACTCTCTCTTCCCCCCTCCGCGGCCGCCCTGTGCGTTCTCTTCCTCCTCCTGCCTGATGGCCAGTTCGCTTGTCGGTGCCCTGGGTTCGCTCCATCGCTGGTGCAGGCATGCTGCCTCGAGGACGACGGAACATGTTAGAGCACGCCTGGTGGTTCTGCACGATATGTTTTCAGAGCATGTTTGGGTGAGACAGGTATTCTTTTACTCCATTGGCTTCATGTTCTCAGGAAACTGCTGATGTCGTTGTTAGTGGTGTTGCTGTTGCTGTTGCTGTTGCTGTTGCTGCTGTTGCTGTATAAGGTACAAGGTACAAGTCCGATCGAGCGCCCTAGGACGTCTCGTCCCGCTTGCGGGAACGGCGTGATTCAAGCAGAAAAGAAGAAAACGTGGAGCGGACGAATGCGAATAATGAGCACACCCCACGCGGATTGCTACACGCAGCCTCGCATGTATGACAAGCGCTGACACCGAAGATCCTGCACCAGCCTGCCAGGAGAGTTCTGCAAAATCCGCTCCAAACTGGTATTGAAGCGATCCTGGAAGACATGGTGGATGGGCATGTTTCAAGTCTGAGACATCCCGTGGTAGGTCCATCGGAGTGCCGGGACGGTCGGCACCTGCTCAGTCTCTGCTAACCCACCTCTCTCGGCATCGCCCAAACGTACGCCAGGGTTGGACCCAAAAGGGGTTTGGTCGATTCTGCTGGCCGTTGTCGTGTCGATGTCGTCTTGCAGCAAGGGCGGATTCAAACCAAAACGAAGGAAACGAATCAAAACGAAGCGAGCACGAAAAACACTTTGCTTAGGTCGAGACCTGGCGTACGTGTGCGTTGCCCTGCAGGGGCGGCGCGCGCGTCGAGAGGTCTTGCAGTATAGCTGTGCTCGGCGGCAGACGCTTCCTGGTCACACCGCCTGTGCGTGGCTCGATTCGATTCCCTCGGCTCGATCCGATTTCGATGGCTTCCGATTCGATTCGGTTTCGGATTCCGATCTGGATTCCGATTCTTCAATGAGGACATACCAGGACGTCGATTTCCTCCGATTCGACGCCTCCAGACTCGCCTGTCGACTTCCGCCGATCCGATTCGTGTCGATCGCCGATCCGACTTATCGATTTGGTTCTGGGCTCTCCTGTCTGTGCAGCGGTACGGTACAAGATGTCGGAAATCCGTCTTCGTTTCGGACATGATTCCAAGAGGGGTGCATAGTACCTATCCGACCGCCCTGCGGGCGATCAGGAGGTTGGGGGGGGATTGAGATCAAATGCCCACCCTGACTGACCTCCAGCTTGTCACCTTGATCTCATCTCTCTCTTTTTCTCTGTCTCTCTCGTCACCTTGGGTTGGGTGGGATAAGATCAGATGGGACAAGATGGGTAGGATAAGATAAGATGTATTGGGTTGGACAAGATGGATTGGATAAGATAAGCTGGATTGGATAAGAAAGCCCGCCGCAAGCGCCGAAAACAATGAATTATGAAACTAGCGACATGCGTTAGCGCTGGGACGCCCGGGACACCGCCCGGCCCAACAGGGACACCTCCCTGCCACCGGCGGACGGGAAACGGATTTTCGCTCCTATTAACACCCGGGACACCGCCCGGCCCAACTGGGACACCTCCCGGCCACCGGCGGACGGGAAACGGACTTTCGCTCCTACTTCGGCATAGCTACAGGAGGATCACGCGCAGCTTCGCCTCGCCCGCACGCACGACACGAACACGAAACCGAAACCGATTTCCCGGTGGGGGGTCTCCGTTTCACTGCGATCTCACCCCGCAACTTCCGATCACATTAGTGTGTCCTTCTGCGCCCTGCGCGCGGGTATCCGCGCTGCTTTCTCGGATCGGCCCTGCGCCCCCCTCCTTGTCGCGGAGCGCGCCAAAGTGGCGCCAGAGGCGCCGCCAGGGGGCTGCAGCGCCGATCCAAGAATTCTGGGCGGAACTCGGAACGTTTCTGGTCATGCCGTATTTGTTGTTCCCCGACAACCCCCCCTTTTGCTCGATCCGATCTGCGCGCAGCCAGCAGGCGTCTACGCACGGGTATCTGCGTTCGCGGGCTTCCTCCAGGACCACGTGCTGGACCTGCCCGGGGCCGCCGCGCGAGTGGACGCCGTGTCGTTCGCTGCCGCCGCCGCGGAGGATCCGCCCCTTCAGAGGCTGCTCCGGGGCTCCTGAGCTTTCTGAGACGGCCTCCTCCTCCTCCTCCTCCTCCTCCTCCCGCTCCTCCTCCTCCTCCTCCTCCTCCTCCTCCTCCTCCTCCTCCTCCTCCTCCTCCTCCTCCTCCTCCACTGCCTCCTCTCATCTGGGAGTCGCCCCTCCTCGCCTCAAGGCTCGAGGTTCGAGGTTTTCGGTCGTCTTTGTCGGTTCCTGACGGCTTTCCAGCCTCGGGATGCCTTCCATCAGCTGTGCCTCGCCGAGAGCTTTCTGGGGGTGCTGGAATCGTCCATAACGGCCGCCAGAGGCCCAAGTTCTGGCCCACGAACCACCAGGCAGGGGTGGACCTAACGGTGTTTTGGCGATTTCGTGGGCCGTTTTCGTTTCGATCTCGTTCTGCGTTAAGGGCCGATTGAAGACAAAACGAGGGAAAACGAAAACAAAACGAAAACGAAAAACCCGTTTAGGTTCAGCCCTGCCACCAGGGCTGGACGATGCTTATCATGGATCAGAGGAGCGCGAGCTGAGACAGCGATAGTGGGCCTTCGGGGCGGCCCCTAGCCGCTACGGCTGGACGCAGCTGGGCGCGTTCGGACCCTGAGAAGCGTCCGGGGTCCGATTTTGGGCTGTCGTTGTCTCAACTTGCCCTGTTCCGATCCACCCTCGTTGAAGATAGGGACGGTGAGGCCAGTGAAGAGGTCCGAATCCCTGCCCACGCCGCCCATCGCATTGGACCCTCTCAGGGCTTGCACGCAGGAAGCACTGATCAGGCGTGTTTCCAAATTTGGAGCGTCCTCGGCCGCTCGGAATGGCGTTCTCTCGCCTCGGCGCCGTCCACATTTCTGGCTGTGCTCCGCGCCTTCCCGCTTGGGTCGTCCGCATACTGCCCCACAGGAGGACGCCTGTCCCAGGGTTCATCTCGATCTGATCGGTGCGATTCGATGTATCGGTCCCGAACCCGTCTGATTCCGACGATCCGACCAGGCCCTCTGCTTGCGCGGCGCTGTTGTGCATCCTGGCGCGGCCGATCCGATTCGATTCCATCTTCATGCCGATGCGGCCGAGTTGATGCCGATTCCGATTCCGATGTGATTCATCGATTACATGTTGGCCCTTCCCAGGATAGCGCGCAAAGTGGAATCCCCGCGGGGCGATGTGGGGTTGTCAACTTTCTGGCCGCCTCGGGGACGGGTGTCCCCGATGGCGGAGCAGTCGGTTCCCAACCCTCCTGCTTTGGCCTCTCGTTTGGACTGGAGCACTGCGGTCGCGACCTCCTCCTCCTCCTCCTCCTCCTCCTCCGGCCTCCCTCCTTCTCTTCTTCCCTCCTCCTCTCCTCGTACTGGCCCTGCCCCTCTCCCTCTTCGTTCCCCCTCTCCCTCTCCTCTTCTTTACTCCTCTCCTCTCGTCTTCCCTCCTCTTTCCTCCTCTCTTTCCTCCTCGCCTCTCAAGGCATGTACCTGGCTTGTACCTGCCTGCCAGCCTGCCCCGTACTTCGCCGTTCTGCATGGGGGGCTGCGAGCTGCCAAACCGTCGCCACCGTTGAGAGCTGCTAGGGAGTCCAGCAGAATGAGACCTCGCCGTCGCTGGGGCTGCGAGCTGCGAAATTGTCTCCACTGTCGTGGGCGCCTGGGAGGTCCAGCGGAGTGACGTCCTATTCAGATCAGGTGGTACCTCGCCGTTGCTGGGGGCTGCGAGCTGCGACTCTGTCGCCACTTTGGTCGGCTTCTGGGAGGTCCAGCGGAGTGGCGTCCTATTGAGATCAGATGATACCTCGTCGTCGCTGGGGGCTGCGAATTGCGAAGCTATCGCCACTTTCCTGGGCGCCTGGGAGGTCCAGCAGAGTGACGTCCTATTCAGATCAAATGGTACCTCGCCGTCGCTGGGGGCTGCGAACTGTGACTCTGTCGCCACGTTCGTGGGTTCCTGAGATGTCCAGCGGACTGGTGTTCTATCCAGATGAGATGAGACATCGCCGTCGCCGGGTGTAGCGAATCGCGAAAGTGTCGTCAATGTCGTTGGCGCCTGGGAGGTCCAGCGGAGTGACGTCCTATTTAGATCAGATGGTACCTCGCCGTCGCAGGGGGGCTGCGAACTGCAAATCCGTCGCCACTTTGGTGCGTTCTCGGTTGCGAGTTGCGAACTGCGAAGCTTTCGCCGCTTTCGTGGGCTTCTGAGAAGTCGAGCGGAGTGACGTCCACTTCAGACCAGATAAGACCTCGCTGTCGCTGGGGGCTGCGAGCTGCGAAACTATCGCCACTGTCGTGGGCTCCTTGGATGACCAGCGGAGTGACGTCCTATTCAGATCAGATGCTACTTCGCCGTCGCTGGGGGCTGCGAAGTGCGAAGCTTTCGCCACTTTCGTGGGCGCACGGGAGGATCAGCGGAATGACGTCCTATTCAGATCATATGAGACTTAGCCGTCGCTTGGGGCTGCGAATCGCCAAGCTGTCGCCGTGGGCTCCTGGAAGGTCTAGCGGAGCGGCGTCCTATTTAGATCAGATGGGACCTCGCCGTCGCTGGGGGCTGCGAGCTGCGAAGCCATCGTCGCTTTCGTGGGCGCCTCGGAGGTCAGCGGAATGGCGTCGTATTGAGATCGGATGAAGCCTCGCCGTCGCTGGGGGCTGCGAGCTGCTGTCGCCACTTTCGTGGGCTCCTGGGAGGTCCGGCGGAGTGACGTCCTGTTCAGACCAGGTAAGACCTCGCCGTCGTTGGGGGGCTGCGAACTGCGACTCTGTCGTCACTTCTGTTGGCGCCTGGGAGGTCCAGCGGAATGGCGTCGTAGTGAGATCAGATGAGACCTAGCCGTCGGTTGGGGCTGCGAATTGTGAAGCTGTCGCCACTTTCGTGGGCGCTTGGAAGGTCCAGCGGAGTGGCGTCCTATTCAGATCAGGTGGTACCTCGCCGTCGTTGGGGGCTGCGAATCGCTAAGCTGTCGCCGTGGGCTTCTGGGATGTCCAGCGGAGTGGCGTCTTGTTCAGATCAGATGGGACCTCGCCGTCGCTTTGGAGCGCCGCAGCGACATGGCGCGGGCCGCGCTACCTGTCCATCGTGCCACGGGGAACTGATCGCCGCCCTCCCTCCTCCTCCTCCTGCCCCCTGCGGTGTCATCCTCGTCATCCTTCCACGGTCTCCTCTTCCGTCCCTACCCTGCCCTTCGCTCTCAACCCCCATGTCATGATCGAGCCCTGGGCCTTAGTCCTCGCCCTTCTATTGCTGTCCTGTGAGTCGTGCAGCGCGCGCGCATTCCGGGTAGCTTCCACGACACATGGCGGCTCCTGTGATGCCATCGGCCATGCTAGCATGGGCCAGCTTCTCTTGACACCTGATGCAAACTGGTTGCGTACGCTGCAGGCTGATGCCGCTTCGCTCCTCCTCCGCTTACTCTCCCCTCTCCGGGCCGAGCTCTGCGCGCGTGCGCGCCCCGCCCTTGCGATCTGCCTGGGATGCGGGGGCTGCCCGTCGCATCTCGAGAGAGAGAAAAACAACCGCGTCCTCCACGTCTGCTTTCCCGAGTGGGGAGGGGGAAGGAAGGGAGGGAGATGGAGGGAGGGAGCGAGGGAGGGGAGGAGGAGTGAGGGAGGGGAGGATGGAGGGAGGGGAGGGGAGGGAGGGGGGAGGGGGGAGGGGGAAGGGGAGAAGGGGGGAGGGAAGAAGGGGGGAAGTGGATCGGGTCTGTCGGTCGGACGAAGGCTGATGACGTTCGGTCATGTTCAGTCGTCTCTGGGCGTGCTGATTCTCAGTGTAATATGCGCACGTGCTATGATAACCTGGGGAGGAAAAAGCTTAGCGATCCTCGGGCAACAAGATGGCAGTGACATGTGTAACCTTTCGCGTATCCCCAACCGCCCATCCAGGAACGATAGGGGAGATGCCCTGATGGGGTGAGCGCGGCATCATGTGGAGTGCTCGGGGAGCCCCCATCGGGCCAGAGGCTTCTTAGATGCTTCTCGGAGTCTCTTGGGATATCTCTCGAGATCTATTGGATGCCTCTCGAGTCCCTGCTGAGCAGGCTCGACGACTGTGTGGCACAGCGCGTGTCGGGTTAACATATCCTTTATTCTGTTTGCCACGCATCCTGCTGGGTGAAGATTTTCTTTCTGCCTGACTACCCCGCAGCCTCCTCTTTTCCCCTTTTGCGCCAGTTGTCACAGTTCTGTTCGCAGCGACATCATGCGATCCTTACAGAAAAAACAGCACAATCGTCGATGGCGGCCCCTGCCCATGCTGAGATTCGGGTGCTGCTTACGTGGTGGGAGGGCGGGTGGGAGTGAGCGAGACGGCCGTCGGTCGGGTTGTGGGAGTTTGGCCCCTTCCCCTCCCCCCTCCCCCTGGGTCTGGAAGGGAGGTCTCGCAGGTCGTTGGAGCGTCCAAAATGGCCCAAGAGGGCCTCGGATAGCTCAAGATGGCTTCCAATTTCGCGCAATGTAGCCCATGTTGGTTCGAGATAGCTTCCAACATGCCTAGGAGACTCCCGTAGACCGCCACTAGGTCCTAGTGGCTTCAGATGGCCAGGAAGCCTCCCAAGGAGGCCCCGAAGATGCCAAAACACAGCGCCGGACGCTTTGCGGCATGTGTGGAACGCGACGCTAGGCGAGACTTCCAGCAGGTTCGCGTCGTGCCGACGCGGCGGCGACCGCTATGGACGTTGCCAGGGACCCAGAATCGGCCAGCCTCGAACAATTTGGCGATAGAAATGAGATGATCGTTCAGGGTTGAACCATTCACGCGGTGTCAGAGGCCAGCGCCCGGGTCGTCACAACGCGAACCCGCTGTACATACATTTCCCAACGTGTTCTAGCAGCGCCCACGCACATCCGCGAGCCACCGTTGGGGCCGGAGCGGGGATGCCAGTCTGCTGTGTGTTCTCGCGCTCCTGCCCGTCTCTCAGCACTAAGCTTGACCTGTTGAACATGTGTCCTCTCGTCTGGTCATGGTCGCGGCCACAGCTCCATCTCATCCTGCTCATGCTCTTGCTCTTGCTCCTTCTGCTGCCGGTCATCTTCCCAGTGTTGCTGATCCTCCTTGGCTTATTTCGATTCCTCTTACTCGTCCTGACCCTTCTCCTCCGCCGCCTCCCGCGGCTCGAGTCCCAGTGACCTTACTCCATGGTTACCTGACCGCCTTGCCCGCCATGAGGCTCGCGCAGGCAACGCCCGCTGTCGGGGGGAGGGGCCTTCGGTGATCCTCTGTTGTCTCCCGCCTCCCTCCCCGGCCTCCTCCTCCTCCTCCTCCTCCTCCTCCTCCTCCTCCCTCCTCCTCCTCCTCCTCCTCCCCTTCCCCCTCCTCCTCCTCCTCCTCCTCCTCCTCGGAGTCCCTCTGCATCCCTACCCGCTCTCCTCCCTGGCCGCGCGCACGCGGAGGTGGCGCGAGGGGGGGCAGCCCTCTGAGGAGGCGGGGGGACCTCCTTCGAAGGGCCCGGGGGCTTCTCTAAGAAGGCCTTGTGGAAACCTCCGGACGCTTCCAGGAAGGCCCATTCCTGCTTAAGACCCCCCCTCACCGTCTTGCCCCTCGACTCGTCATCCCTCTTTTCTCCTTGCCATTATCCTGTCCCTTCTGCCTTCCTCGTTCTCCCTGTGCTCTTCCTCGCCCTCATAGCTCTTCACCCTCAGAGCGGGTGTTCAAACAGATAATGTCATGCGGGAAACGCGCGCCGCAGTTGGGCGGATCTTCGATGAGTTAAAGGTTGTTGTGTCAGGCCATTGATAGTATCATTGCAATGCTTTTCTTCGTGACGTTTACGCGTCGGAGATGTGTTTTTGCAGCGCGCTGTTGCCACCCAGGCTCCCGAAGCCACAAAGTGCAGGGCCTGGCCGCAAAGACCGAACGATGGATTACGCACCCGCCCAGCTCGCCAGTCTTGTCAGGAGGCAAGCCTCTACAAGGCCTCTGAAGACCCTCCATTTGGGATTTCCCGCGGGCGCGTGGGCCATGGATTGTCACTGAGCAGGGCTCCCGTAAGAAGGTCGGGCGAGATGTGGCCCAACAGCCGCAGACCACACGCAAGTTGTTCCCACAAGACGTGGGATTCGTGCACCGCTCTGCCAACAATGCAATTCTGGACGCTCCGCGTAACCCCACCGGCCTCAGCCATTCCGGGTGCCCATCCTTTGGACTCGGCAACATGCAGTGGTTTCCACTTCGTCGCCCGTAGGGACGGCGACTTCTGACCCCCCTTTTCACATGGGCGTGTTGACAGTACGGTCGGCCGCTTGTCGGCATCGGCGGACACGGACGTCGGTCAAGGCACCGTTTTGGCGCTTGTGTTAGCATTGGCTACAGCCACAGGAGAGCCTTCGGGGTGCGTTTCGCACACCGCCTTGGTACCAGAGGCCATCGCGGGCGCTCTCCTTTGTGGTCGGCCTTCTCCAGGCATTGACCCGAACCCCGTCAGCGGCGTACAGTCTGGCCCACGTTCCAAGTGAGTGAGTGGTTTTGGCACGTTCCGCCTGGCAGTCTGGCCCCACCTGCGGGTCCGACCTTTCCGCCCTCCCCACTTTCGCTGGCACACGCTCAGCGGCTTTTGGGGTCCGCGTGGTGGCGCCAGGGCTTCAGCTGGTATCTTCACTAATAGGTTTCTACAAGACTCAAAAGAGAGCAGCAGATGACTCCACAGGGGGGTCTGGGCGGGTGCCGGACAGGGTGCCGCAGAATTCATTTTAAGCCAACAGTCACACACTTCGTGCTCTTCGACTTCCCAGAACTCCATTCCCGGGCCACATTCTGAATGCCCGGAGCCAACTGTAGGCCACTTCGTGCTCTTCGTGAACTCCATTCTGAATGCCCGGAGCCAACTGTAGGCCACTTCCCAGAACTCCATTCCCGGGCCACATTTTGAATGCCCGGAGCCCTGTAGGCCACTTCGTGCTCTTCGAGTTCCCAGAACTCCATTCCCGGGCCACACTTTGAATGCCCGGAGCCAACTGTAGGCCACTTCGTGCTCTTCGAGTTCCCCAGAACTCCATTCCCGGGCCACATTTTGAATGCCCGTAGCCAACTGAGGCTGAGGCAGGCTGCTGCTGAGGCAGGCTGAGGCTGAGGCTGAGGCAGGCTGAGGCTGAGGCAGGCTGAGGCTGAGGCTGAGGTTGAGGCTGAGGCTGAGGCTGAGCAGGCTGAGGCAGACGCTGAGGCAGGCTGATGCTGAGGCAGGCTGAGGCTGAGGCTGAGGCTGATGCAGGCTGAGGCTGAGGCTGAGGAAAAGGTTGAGGCTGAGGCTAAGGTTGAGGCTGAAGCTGAAGCAGGCTGAGGCTGAGGCTGAGGCAGGCTGAGGCTGAGGCTTAGGCAAGCTGATACTGAGGCAGCTGAGGCTGAGGCTGCAGGCTGAGGCTGCAGGCTGAGGCTGAGGCTGAGGCTGATGCAGGCTGAGGCTGAGGCAGGCTGAGGCTGAGGCCGAGGCTGAGGCTGAGGCTGAGGCTGGCAGGCTGAGGCTGAGGCTGAGGCTGAGGCTGAGGCTGAGGCTGAGGCAGGCTGAGGCTGAGGCAGGCTGAGGCTGAGGCTGATGCAGGCTGAGGCTGAGGCAGGCTGAGGCTGAGGCCGAGGCTGAAGGCAGACTGAGGCTGAGGCTGCAGGCTGAGGCTGAGGCAGAGGCAGGCTGAGGCTGAGGCAGGCTGATGCTGAGGCAGGCTGAGGCTGAGGCTGAGGCTGATGCAGGCTGAGGCTGAGGCAGGCTGAGGCTGAGGCCGAGGCTGAAGGCAGACTGAGGCTGAGGCTGAAGCAGGCTGAGGCTGAGGCCGAGGCAGGCTGATGCTGAGGCTGAGGCAGGCTGATGCTGAGGAAAAGGTTGAGGCTGAGGCTGAGGCAGGCTGAGGCTGAGGCTGAGGCAGGCTGAGGCTGAGGCTGAGGCAGGCTGATGAGGCAGGCTGAGGCTGAGGCTGAGGCTGAGGCTGAGGCTGATGCAGGCTGAGGCTGAGGCAGGCTGAGGCTGAGGCCGAGGCTGAAGGCAGGCTGTGGCTGAGGCTGAGGCTGAAGCAAGCTGAGGCTGAGGCTGAGGCAGGCTGAGGCTGAGGCTGAGGCAGGCTGATACTGAGGCAGGCTGAGGCTGAGGCTGTGACTGTGACTGCCGTTGCCACTGCGACTGTCATCGCGAATGCGACTGCGACTGCGAGAACAGGAGAATTCTACAACTGGATTCTCATCTGGATCTTAAGGGGAATGTTTCCATATATGCTTCTACACATCGCTACATAGCGTGCTGCCTGCTCCTGCAGCGCCACCAGCGTGCCTTGCAGCGCTTGCATCATTCGGACTGGAGCGATGTCATGCACTGGATCCACTGCAACTGTGAACTCTGCCACATTCTCATGCAGGTAGGCCATGTCAGGCTGTTCTGCTGCTTCTCCGTCTTTGTCTGTCTCTTTCTCCTCGTCAGACTCGTCTCCCGCCTCGTCGTCTCTGCCCACTTCCGGCGCCCTGGATGCTGGCCCCAACAGACGTGCCGGGGCTTTGTCCGCACCGTCCGCTGGTTGCAGACAGGCTTGGATGTGGTCTGGCACGCCGTCATTGTCCAGGCCCCTTCATAATCATCCATTCATCATCCATTTCGTTGTCCGTGCCTCTGTATGCTCAACCCACTTTTCTGTTCTTTATATTGAATGCGCTGCTTCACCACGCCCCGCGGTGCTTCTCAGCCTGCCTAGTCATTTACGGTTCTTTCAGCCAACTAGCGATGGTCAAGAAATTGGTTTTCAAAAAAAAAAAAAATCTGTGACCAAAAGGTATCGACCCGCGCTGGCCCCTGGCATGGAGAAGAAAGATTTGGCCACTCCGAGGAGTGCAACTCTTCATTCGTTTCGCTCATTCCGCCGGCCCATGTTGTAGCATCGCTGGCGCTTGCTTCCGTGCTCGGGCGCGGGCGTCTGAACGGCCTCCTCGGGCCGCTTCGGGGTCTCTGAGGAGCTCCTTCGGAGCCTTCTGAGGGGTTCTGACGAGCCTCTGAGGGCCTTTCTGGGGAAACCTCTTCGGTCCTCCTGAGCCTCTGGGAAATCTCTTCGCCTTTCTTGGGACTCCCTGGCGGGCCTCGGGGCCGCGCCCAGAGGGAAAACCATCGTGGATTAACGCGCCTCAGCTCCATTTCGGCCAGCGAACTTCAGGTCGCCGCCGTGCTGCGAGGAGAACGGCAAGGCGCTCCGGGTGCAGACGTGGTGGCAAAGTTACGCTTCAGATGAATGTCATATCTTCACTGTTAGTTGGTGCAAAAACCCCAACAAGCAGATATGAGCGCTTCTTGTACAATGATGCCCTTGTTCGCTGTCGCATTTGCAGTGCTCCTCAATCTTCGAGTGCAGAACTGCATTTCGCATGTGGGGCATGTGCAGCTAAGCAGGCTCGGGGTTGTATATGTTCAGGCATCGCATCTCTGCGTGGCAATGTGAATTTAGAGCTCTTGTCAGAATTCGTTTCAGGTATCCGATCGCCAGAAAACCCTGCGCACCAACCATTTGACCCCGAGGATCAACGCAAACTGCAGGAATCCCTGGAGAAAGGTGCTGCGGTGCTTCTCAGCCTGCGGACTTCGCGCAGCACGAGTATTTTGGTTCGTTTCCGCCACCTCGTGCGTCTGATCTACATTGCTGCCGCGACGGGCTTGGCGGCGACCGTGGATGCTGCAGCGCCATACTCAGCTCAAAACGACTTGAAAGGTTTCAGGCATTACCTCGACACTGCGGAGGTCGCGCACCGTGGCGGCCAGCGCCCGGGGAAGATCTGTCGCGGCAACATGCAGCTTGTTGAGTTCATGCGCGTCGTCGGCAACAAGATGGCGCAACTGCTCTCCTCATGCGCGCCCTCCCTGCAGACGGCCCAGCGGCGACAGGTGCTGCTCAGCCTTGCTCAAGTAGTTTTCCAAATGGCAAGCAAGCGCGAATTCAAGGTCGATGGATGCGGGGCATACAAGTGCACGCGAATCCTGGAAATCACCATGCTGGCTGGGCTCAGTTCCAAACTGACAGTGCCGCGTTTGCTGCCTGGTGACCTCTTGGCTTTGTCTGGTCGGTGGCCGGTTCCACGCGGATCGCGCCTTGCCCTGCGAAAGATCATGCCCGGCATGACCACGAAACTTCGCGAACAGCAGGCTTTGAAAGCGATCTCTTTGACACTGGGCTCCGGCGGTAATGGCAAGTCGGTTCCTGTCTGCACGATATCCGCAATGTT